AGTGTTGCGTCCCTTGGGCACGCCAGAAACCTATGATTATGGGTTCAAATCCCGATTCGCCCCGATTATGTTCCTAGGTTTCAACGAAGTGGTAAACGTCTGAGACCTGCATCACTTCGGGCATAGCTCCCACATTCAGCTGACACGCCGTGATATAACTGGAATACTGTTAAAAGTGGCGTTAAACCCAACTCACTCACTCATGTGGAGAGCTACTGAAGTGCAGTACAAGAAAGGATGCAGAGCGCGATGTACATGTGTTGTTGCAGGGCTTGCACATGAGGCGACAGTTGCAACCAAACTTAGATGACAGAAATACGTGTCGTTCAGTGTACAACTCTGGATGAAAGGTTTGATCATTGTGGTTGTATTCTTTATGCGCTACATGGCCACCATGCACTGTTTATAACACGTGGAACTCGTAGGATGGGATAATCTTTGTTATGAATATACTGTGAATTATGGCAGATGTGGATGTGTTGAATGTGACAAGGGCTTGGCATAATTTTACTTTGTGCAACCGACACTCTATTTATATCTACTTTGTGTATTAAGTTGCAGTGTTCCAAGGTAGGTCTCATTGCTGTATTGTATTTGGCGGCAATTTCAAACTTTGTATATTCAACCATTTCTGGATGGACAATTATTTAAAATTCCGACACTGCTTTGGCAGAGATTTCTTATGAATATTGAAAAGTTTATCGATATATTTATATCATCTATGAAATACCCATTTTGCACCGTTTGCGTATCTATATTTTGTTTCTAATGTTTTAACTCATGGATGGAGTTTAGGGGATTTATCACAGATTTTGCATAAATACAGTTAAGGTCAGTATTGGTATATGATCCCATTCATGGAGCAGGATGACATGTCATTTCAATTAATAGATGTTTAATGTTGGTAAATTGCAACAGTAGGTACAGTCTTATTAATTGTTAAATGTCCTTGGTGGGATAGGTTTTCAAATAGGCTTAATCTGTTCACCAATCCGATATCCATTTTTGAAAATATATATTGATTTAGTCATAAACATGGAAAGAATCTAATCCGCGGATATTCCATCATCAAAGTTTAAAAAAACCCTCTTCATGATAAATATAACTTTATTCGTGTCGGTTATTTTCAGGATGTTAAACAAATACTACCCTGTCTATTCGTTCCCTTTGTTGCAATACGCTTTCGTTCAGTGAGTGTACCCGTGATATAATTTCACATTGTGATTTTAAAGATTCATACCCGTATTGTAGATGATTGTGAAGGCAATATAGATCCATATCCGTAAAAGGTACCTGAAATAGAAGTGTAATGAAATAAATCTATTTTGTCTATATTATAACCTTTATATATCTAGAAACGATTGCATAAATGCAGCCAAAATGTGTGAATGAGTCCAAGTCCGTGCATTTCGGAGATTTTGATTTTCGCTTTTTCTGTAAAAAACTTGTGTTGATACCACAAATTCAGGAAGGATGCACACGGTATAAAAGGTGAGCACATCGATGGGAACGTGTCACATTTGAAAAAAGAACGCTCTGATTAACTGCAGATGAAACGTAGATAACAATAATTATTGGTATGGCAACTTAATGGGCGCGACACACGACAAACGGTTGGGTTGCAACCGGATGACAGTGGCTCGACTTCTCCAGGGGTAAAACCAGACAGGACACACAAGGGACAGGCCTAAGATCTAGAGTGACAGACCACGCGTCACAAACCCCCACGAGGACTGCTATCTGCGTACATTACATCTGCGCAACATTGACAGTGACTTCATCGCATTAGGTCGTCGTATCAGCCCCTTCATCGTGGTCATCATAGGTGGCAATTTGAACGCAATGATATTGAATATGTAAAGTCTCTTTCTGGCTCTCCCTTTATTATTGTGATCCTCATAAAAAATAAGTTGACATCCATGCATTTTCATGCATACTGACATCATGGAACAATGTAACAATTTGAACATGCCAGCTAGCAGAATGTCAAAAAATCTGTTAAAATAATTATGCCCCTGACTTGAAGTATAACAAAGGACTGTTCATCTTAATTCACGGATTCGGTGATGGTGCCTTCCCTTTAAAAATTGTCCAAAACAAAGACTGTGTGGCGGGCGCGTTGTTGGTCAAGTACGTCAGGGTACGACAGTGCTGTAGTCGATGTCATTCCTAAATTTCACTCACGTACATTGTTGGAGATATCAAGCTTGGCTTTTACTGTCCATGTGATCGTTCTCTTATATGTGAAAAAAAGAAACATGGTTCTCTTTAGGATCGTTAAAGACCACTGATACTTTGATAGGTGAGGTGAAGTGAAATGGAGTTTCGCGTCGCGTCCAAGATTATTGCAATGCCTTCTAAATGCCTATGAAAGAAGTTAAGATTATTGCACTTATATATATAGCGACGTGCATGCACGTCTGTGTGTGGCCGCTTGTACTAGTTCGGACTGATGGCGATTTATAGTGCTAGATATCATGCCGCAGTTTAACATGAATACCCCGCACAGACACAGTATACTGACTCCGAGCCGACCAGTCTCCTTAATGCCGAGCGCCAGTCAGGGTAACAACAAGTACCATCTTTAAACGTCTTTTGGTATGACGCGGCCGGGGATCGAACCCCGGATCTTCCGCTCTCCGGATGGACGGTCTATTTGATAAGTGATCTTTCCCCCCCTGACCTACATATAACTTATTATTCCAAACATTTGCACGGCCGCAAAATAAAATGTAATATTGTTGCTAGATACCAGAGTCCAGGAATATAATATTATTATATTTGTGTGTATTTGCACGGTAAGGGTACATTATTATTTTCCGACAATCATAGTATGTGTTATATTTAATATATTGTTCAGTAAAACAGGGTCTTGATTATGTTTTTAGAGAAAGAGAAATTCCCGCCCCTCCTCGCCCCCTGAAAATCAAATGTTTGCTCCCTTATGACCCAAAGTATATAAATCTTGTCTTGGCCTCAGACGTAATGCGTCAAATGTTGCCGTCAGGGGAGACGCGGAATAGATGTCATTTGTCACAAAACAACGCATAGAAGTATTTCGCTTATGCTTCCGCCTTAACAGTATGGAAATAACAAGACTGTCCCGTGTCATTCATGCTCCGTCAAGACGTCGATCATGGCAAAAGGAAGTTTACAAGGGTGAAAATTATTTGATCAAATGTACCAAAGGCGCTTGACACTCATTTAATCCTGTGTGCGCTTTTCTCCAAGTATGTTCATATGCTTGGGACTAGTTGTATTTGTGATAAATATTTTGATATTATACTTGTAATGTTTATGTTTATTGTCGGTGAAGATGAATGCTCTTCTGTCTGTGTGTGTGTGTGTGTGTGTGTGTGTGTGTGTGTGTGTGTGTGTGTGTGTGTGTGTGTGTGTGTGTGTGTGTGTGTGTGTGTGTGTGTGTGTGTGTGTGTGCCTCTGTGTGTGTGTGTGTGTGCGTGCGTGTGTGTGTGTGTATGTGTGTTGGGGCCGTTGAGAGAGAGTTCATCTTATTGGGTATGAATGTATGTATGCATGGATGTATGTGCGTGCGTGCGTGCGTGCGTGCGTGTGTATGTGTGTTGGGGCCGTTGAGAGAGAGTTCATCTCATTAGGTATGAATGTATGTATGTGCGTGCGTGCGTGCGTGCGTGCATGCGTTTTAACCTAAATTTAAACATTGTCTCTCTGTTTTAGACAGATGTTTGATAGTAAAAGCAGGTCATTATTGAAATCAGAATTTCGGATGCCTGTGCTTTTGCACCCTTGGAACGTACTGTATTATGTAAGTTTCCGTAAATGTTACAGACAAGTTAAGAACTTTCGGTTACTTTATTTTTCGTTTGAATACATAGAATATAATGAAAAAAACCCGGTATCATCGTATATCAATGCTTTTTCGGCCATAAACATTACAAACGATGTTCCCGAGAGTTATTCGGAATAGCACGACATAGGTGTTCATCAAGAGGAGATGACAACACAAACTATCGATCTGGAATAAGTGTGCGGAACCACAGAAACTCGTCTTCAATACGAATATGATTCACCTTGAAGGGTTAGATGTATACATTAGTTGTTTGTCCCTGTAATCATTTGGTACTATTACAACTACAACTACAACAAAACACTTACATTTTATGCAACCGCTTCTTTCTGTGGACGCAATCGATCTGAGGTTAAACGGGAAATAATCATTTGACCGTCTATTTGCTGACATGAAACCGAATGCGTGTACATTTCCGTGTATTTGCTTCTTGTTTATGCTTCCCCATCATCGATTGTTTAATTATTGTTTCAGTCCGTACATGTTTGTACGTACAGTCCCTAAGCCAAAACACTACTCACAATTTTATAATCGTAAAGAAGCATTATGACGAGATGTATAACATCTGTTTTGACTCAGCTACGTACGAGTGTGACATTTGACAAACTAATGACTATATCAAACAATTTCCGAAATACTAGTCTATAAAAGACCTTTTCGAATTACCTACATGCTTTGTGTCTTTTGAATGTGGAACCAATACATTTTTCTTGCTTACAGCGTACAACTGTTGACATGGAATTATATCAACTGCTTGCAATAACCATATGCATGTGCCTACAACGTGAGTATGTTTGAACGTATTGTTCAGCTCTCCACGAAATATATACACTTAACTCAGAACGATAGATGGGGGTGGGTTTGTATGAGATTATTTCAAGTTATTATAAGGATGTGTCTTAAAGGAATCTAAATTATTCTTAGATAAATATTAACAAATGCTTTTTGATTTAATCTTTATAATGCCCAAATGGAAAAAGCAAGTGGTACGTGTAACTTGTACGGCGCTCCGAGGCGCCAAACTTTGCTGTAGAGGCGTACAGGGTAGTCATTCATCGTATTCACCGTTTCGCATGCATAGTGTAAAAAATAGTAACTATGTTTTTGCATTAAATATTTCAAGCACAAATGGCTAAAAAGTTTTTCTATGAAAAAACTATATACACATTAATGTGCTATGGTATTTAATTGCCCTTTTCCCCATGTGAAAGTTTGTATCTGTGACGATTTGACTTTCAAGTCATATATGCAATATATTGACTTAGATTACGTCGATAGAACACTCCCTTGTCGAGTCACACTGTGATTACTAAATCATAGCAGCAGACTTCCTTCCGTAAGAGCACATGATGTTTCACATCAAGTTATAACTTTGTAATAGGACTAATTGGACTTTTTGGATATGGAGACGAGTTCAGGTGGGGATTCATGACCTTTAATGTTTATGTAGTACATGTACATGTATATCAGGGTATAGTAGATTGGTGTATTCATGCTATATCTAATCCAACTTTCATATTTCTTTTTCTAGGTATCGCCATTGTTGATTGTACAGCCTATCTCTGCCTGTCTATATCTCAGTCCGGGACATGTGAGGAATGTTATATTGGAAGGTATGGTGATTACTGTGACAAGATGTGTCAACACTGTGACACGGGTGGATGTAGCAAAACAACAGGAGTTTGTCTTCAGTGTCAAGCTGGCTATTACTCTACAAACTGTTCACGGACATGTCCACCTCAGTGTAGAGAGAGCTATAGTGACCGTGTCTACTGTGACCGTACAACAGGGAATTGTCTGGACGGCTGTAAACCCACATTGTGGGGAGATAAATGTGAACACAAGTGTGGAAAACAGTGTACAGATTCACAGTGTTTCTTTTACGATGGTTCATGTGCTTTTGGTTGCAAGGACGGGTTTACCGGGACTCATTGTGACAAAACCTGTTCAGTGGGATGTTTCCACGGCACCTGCAGTCAGCTGGCGGGTGTGTGCCTACATGGATGTAAAACTGGCTATTATGGGCGCTCCTGTGATAGAAACTGCACTGATAAATGCCTTGACAAAGATTGCAGTACAGAGATTGACGGAGACACTCCTCGCTGTACCCACGGCTGTGTACATGGCTGGAAGCCTCCTCTCTGCCATATCCCTTGCCTACCCAACTGTTTATCGTGCACTGAAGCTGAGGTGTGTACATCGTGCAAGGCAGGGTTCACAGGAACTAGCTGTGAGAAGAAGAAATGCAACTGTCTTGGTTCCGGTTGTAGCGATGACAGAATTTGCGATGGATGTCCTCATGGGTGGTGGGGACAGACCTGTGAGCTGGCCTGCTCTCAAAACTGCCTCAAATGTCAACAGAAGGGTGGCAAGTGTACAACATGTCGCCAAGGGTTCACATATGATGGAAGAAGTCAATGCACCTCCATGATCGATGGTAACGGAACCTCTCAATGTATGTGATATGCTAGTATTTGTAGTATACATCGTTTAACATGTAACACGTACAATGGAAATTAATCATAGTAATTACAGGACTTGTTGGTACAATTTCTGTTATTGGACAAAATAACGTGAAAATGTTCCATTATATTAAAAACGTGATGATATCCGGAGACATTTAATCGCTTAACATCGAATATATACAAAAATACTAACTTATTGGGATCTAGTAGTTTTTTTTAATACACCTAATGAGTATTTTTTACAAAGGGTAGGGTATTAGTAGGTATTTCAGTTTATTGAAGTTTGAAAGATTAAACTATATTCATAATCAAAATGTCACGCACCCAAATACATTTTATTTGTACTGAAACCTCACAAATACAACACCTATGATCAATATCATTATGGCCGTGAAAGACCACAATCACGTGATTGTTTGAGGGTTGAAAATCTATCTACTTGTAGAAGACATAAGCTGAAACAGACAAACAAGTGAGATTTATTTCCTTATTATGTTACTGTTTTTCATACATCCACAGTCACCGACGTCCCAACTCAAAGGCAAGAATCACATGTTACCATTGTGATTATTTCAACCATAGCCTGTCTAATCGCAGTTTTAATCGGGGTCTCTATCAGGTTAGTTGTTGTTTATTTTCTTTAACTGACTAACACGTATTCCAGTTTTCTTCTATGGCATAAAGACTAAGCGTTTATAAATTAAAGATCTTTATACGCCTTGAAATGTGTTTTGAAACCGATGGAGTGACCAGAAATTCACCATACATATTAAAAACCTTCCGGGCTTATGAACCATTGAGATTGGGGTACGCACTTGTATATGTGTTTGTGTCACTCTGCAGTGTAAAGTTTATACAGGATGCTGAAGGTTACTTTTATTTAATTATCATAACACTTCACAATTAACACGACATAGTGACAAAAGTTGGTTGATCTGTCAAACTCGGTGTTGCAGATTCCGGGGACGCATCCTGTCATCGTGCATCAAACACGCCCCGGATGAAAACGCTCCTGATAATGAGGTATAGTAATGTTTAATCATCTGAATAATAGTTCCTTCTGACGCTGTGTAATGAGAACGTACAGATATGGTCTATTTATTTATTCGTAAAATAAATCTGTCGAATTCCCAGGTACGGCAGTAAAGTGGTTCACGGGACTCCTGTAGTTGTCGTCACTTCATGACGAAACAATGACATGCGAGGTTAAACTGTAACTCATTCACTCACACCTAATATTGTAAAGACAAAAACACAAAGACACATTCACAAATTGACGAACATGGTTACGAGCTAGTCATCAAAATATAATCTTACTTTTGTGATATACCACGATATTGATTTGTAACAAAATCTAAATGCTAAAAACTTGCATTCTATTGGTGTTACGCATTAATAACGTTTTTAATTGTAAGCAAATTATCAATGTATTCACAAGCAGGAACGTATGACAATAAATGCATCAATCGGTCAACTGAGGTTATGTCAATAGTTCGTTTTTTGTCATTTGCCGACCTCAATAATCGGAAAAATATGTCTGTCTGTCCGTATGCGTGCGCGCGTGTGTGTATGCGTATGCGCGTCTGTGTACGTGCCTGCATTGATAATCACAGTCACTGTTGGTAGAATTTGGAATGATTGTAAAATTAATTATACGTTTAATGAGTTCATTTAAGATAATCACAAAAGAGTCTTGAGACCAGTACCCAATATATCTAAGGATGTGTGTTTTTTGTCATTGTAGTAGTTGTGTTCATGTCATGAAACGACACACTACCAGATAAGATACATTGCCGTTTACAAAAAAGGAAAATGGTAATACCAGGGAGGCCAAAGTGTTTTGGTTCTCTATACAAAATGCCATGAATCAAGTGTTCGCGTATAACTAAGATGCGGACGATTTTTTTAAGCTTGACGCAAATCACCATATAAACAATCGTATTTAAATAAGTGACATAGCACTAACTCCCATTCGGCTTTGTTGTAAGCAAAATGCGACGTATCGTAAAATGAGAGTTTGATAATAAACGCCGTTTTTTAACGATCTGACTTTACTCTGTGATTTTCGGCGACACTGCTTCATATCGGCAATAGGTTGATTTAGAATATAAATTATATCGGCCATTTGCTACGTTGCCTTGTAACATCGATGTTCAAATCTCCAGAAATGACGTCTTAATAGAACAATGTTTTATCGTGAAACAAGCCAAGCTTCGTTCTTCTTTGTTCTTTGCGATTTGTGGCGTTACTATCTTATGCATAAATATAAATCATTGCATCAGCAAAATCCTACAAGCAGAAATCCTTAAACAGTCCATTTTCCATATGTTGTAGGAGCCGGAATCGTCAACAACCGACTTGCTCGCATAAGATCGCGAGCAACAAGAAGATGTATCGTTGGGTAATGTGTGTTAATCATTTCCAGCTTTGGCATTAGAAGGTCTATCTTGAGACAATCGAGAGTTCTAATATGTCAGGGTCGATCGACCAACATTCTAGTATATACTTTTAATTTAAGCTCTTTTTATCAGCACAAACATGTGATTTTGATATATCTCAGAATTGTGCAAAATTGACAAGTGTATCGTATATCATGTGTGATATTTCTTACACTTTAATTCCCAATGGCCATAGTAACACTTATTGTATTGCATAAAGACCCCTTTGTGGAGACCTTTAGAGTAAAACATGCGACTTAATGAAAGTACTTGACATCACATGGTTATATTTACTGTAGGTATCATGCTTTAGATCTGGAAGTTCATGTATTAGCTTTCTGCGTCTATTTAATGTTGCAATCTGTGTGTATCCTGTATTACGACAACGGGATCAGGTGGTCAGGCTCGCTGACTTGGTCGATGCATGTCATCAATCCCAATTGCGTGGATCGATGCTGATGATATTAATCACTGGATTGACTGGTCCAGACTCGATTATTTTTAGATCGCCGTCATATAGCTGGAATATTGCCGAGTGCGGCGTTAAACAACAAAGCAGCCAACCAACCAAATCTTGTTTCCGGATAATTCCGTATGTTCTGTAGACCCAAGTCCTTCGAGGCAGCTGAAGTTTCGGTGTATACAGTAACCAAAAATATTAATCTGGATACACACAGATTTCAACATGAAAATGACGCACAAAGCTAATACATGAACGGAAACAAGAGATATATTGATATTTGAAATATGAGTACAACACTACACATAACGAATGCGTGTAGTTTGTACAACACCAATACTCGCTGTAAGTAATCAGTGTATGTTAACAACACATCTACATATACTGGTTCAGCGTGTACTTGTTGCTATATTTATCGACAAGAATCATCTGTCTATGGTACTCTAGTTTTTATTATATAACACAAATACTGAAAACAATCAAATTTACATTTACATACTGCACTGATTCCAGATTCCGGATTTTGTATCTACAAGCAAACTATTGTCAGATGTATCTCAAAACGAACGACTGCGCATAACATACATGAAATAATAAACCTTTAATAAACGTTTGATTTAACAGAAATATGGAAATAAGACTTATCCGAGCGAGGCTTTACACTCTTAGCAAACCCACATGTTACCATATGCAAGTCCATGAGGTAAGTGCCAGTTCATGTCAGTAGACGTCCATTAATATATCGATCGATCTACGTATGTACAACTGCAGTGTTCGTGTTCCCTTCGCATAACATATATATGCACGTTTGGATGATACGCTGTCGAATTGTACAAGTGAAAGGGAGAAATACTCAGCATATATGATCAACTATTCTTTACATGTGTGACCACTCACAAAACATACTCTTGGGGAGCATATTACGTCTTTTTTTAATTTTACATGAACATATTTGAAGATGGAATTACAATATGTTGTATGCATGCCGTAATTTAACATAGTATTTTAGATCTTCTACATATTCAATGAGTATGATCAACTTAATGACGGGTACTACAGTGTACTTACATCTATAAAAGTATCCTTTCTAGAAGTGAGTGTATGTCAGGGTATCCATATCCATTGTTTGTAAAACATGCCAATAAGCAGGTATCGACCTGCTGTCCTGTTGTACCCTATGTTACCGTCACTGTTGTAATTCCTGATTCTTTATCAGTAGGATTGTTCACCAAAACAAAAACATCGCTGGTGCAAATTATCCAATTAATTTGCTTTTTTATTGGTTTTATTTTCAGTTATGTGATTCTTCTGTGACATTTTTGGTTGATGTATATAGATTTTGTTTATGTTTCGAAAGTTCATTTTTTGTTTGACATATTTTGTCTGTGAGTGTGGTGACATTCTTTCTCTCTGTAGTTTTCATTCATTTTTCTGTTATCAGGTTTTGGTTATATCTGGTGCATTTCTGCATTGCAAATCTATACTTCGTGCGCAACCCCCCTGTCAGCCTTTGTAAAAAAAAAACATATTCTGTAAAGTGAGTGAGTGAGTATGGTTTTACGCCGCTTTTAGCAATATTCCAGCAATATCACGGCGGGGGACACCAGGAATGGGCTTCACACATTTTACCCATGTCGGGAATCGAACCCGGGTGTTCGGCGTGATCAGCCCTCATACCTATGCATTGACAAATTTTTAACTGCCTCAGTCACGGGTCCAAATATAATCAATCGAAATAATAAACCCTGTGCTCCTAAACCTACCAGTACTTACTCGCTTGTAAACATCCACATTTAGACATGAGCATGTTCTACTATTTCAAGACATACGGTCGTCGATATGTTGCCGCCCCTATTCTGTAAAGAGAGATGTCGGTTGCGATAGATGGGGTTATTAGCGTCCAGTCTTTACAGCAAAGTATCTTGCAAATTGAACAGGTCCTTGCTGTTTCTTTCTTCCTGTTGTATCTATAGTGAGTGAGTGAGTTGGGTTTAACGCCGCTTTGAACAGTATTCCTGTTTTAACGGCGTGTCAGTTTAATGTGAGAGGAAAGCCCGAAGTGATGCAGGTCTCAGGCGTTTACCACTTCGGTGAAACACACGCACGGGTATGGTGCTGACAAACCTAGAAACATAATCGGGGCGAACCGGGATTCGAACCCACGATCATAGGTTTCTGCACAGTGAATTGCGGCGCCTTAGACAACTGGGCCACCCGTGACCCCTGTTTTATCTATAAGCTAAGACCGTCGATTACTTCTTTCATGTTACGGTAATGTTACCCAAACCCTGGGCCAGTAACATGGTAATTTAAAGATTGGTCATCTAAAGGACAAATAGATCTACTTTGCACTGAATTTCATTTATACGATATTATTCACTTGACCGAAACTTGGCTGCATGACGGCATACATTACTGTTGGTATTTCAATTCCAGGCTTTCATTTGCCAGTTAGAAACGATCGACCAAGTCGAGGCGGGGGTGTAGCTATATATGTAAAACGAAATAATATGTTAACAATATGGATTATCTGTGCATAAATGTACTTGATTCATTATGGGTAATGGCAAGGGATATTCTATAGGGCAGATAGGCTTACTGACGGTTGACAGATCAGTCAATATGTAACGCAATAGATTTGAATATACATCTATTATAGCTTGGGACTTTAATCTAGATATCTGTGAGACAGTAAAAACAAAATAGATTACTTACAAGCAATATATGGGTTGACCCAAATTATAACTGCGCCCAACAGGATTACACCTACCTCCAGAACTTTGATTGATTTATTGTTTGTAACTAATGTAGACAGTGCGTGGAATTCGGGTGTATCCGATCCTATATGCAGTAACCATTGTCCTATATTCGTAGCAATTAAGGAAATTATACCTAGCAATGCAAATTGTAAAAGAAAAATCTACAATTACAACATGGCGAATAATGAAAACAATATTGATAGCTCAACTGAGACAAAGTTGGGATCATTTCTTATCATCCAGAAATGTTGATGTTATTGCAGAATGTTTTACCCGGACAATTATTGACGTGTGTAATGATCACATTCCTAAATCAATTGTTACAATGAGACCTTATGATCCACAATGGATCACAAGTGAGATATGTTGGATGCTACGTCGGCATTCACAAGCTTGCTAAAGAGCGTAACTTAGATTCTGACTGGACCAATTTTCATTAAATAAGAAACCGTGTTAACTCCTATGTTAGTGTTGCAAATACAAAATACGTGCTCAAAATTGATGGTAAATGTTTTATGCGTACGGCGAAAAATCTGGTGGCGGCAAGTTAAAAACTATTTAAGGGGCACCAGTAATACCAAATGTCACCCCATTAATTACCACGATGTATATATGATGATACAAGAGATATAGCAAGCAACAGGGCCCGACAGTATCGGCAACAGATTATTGAAATTAAGTGCTTCAGCGATAACCAGATCCACTTGCTAAATTGTTTGATATATCCCTGGACAAGTCTACTTTTCCAATAAGTTGGAAGGAAGCTTCCGTAATGGCTTGAAATGTAATATTAATGAATTGATAAATTATAGACCTATAGCTCTCACGTGTTGTGAGGCTTAGATATTCGAAAAATGCGTTAACTTTTTGAATATGTAATAATTACTTAAGAGATAATAATTTGCTTACAAATCTTCAATCAGGGTTCTTGTCAGGAGATTCTACCGCTAATAAACTAACTTACCTATATGGTTTTATTGCTGGAGAATTGGATAAAGGCAAATACATTAGAGCAGTCTTTTGCGACATCAGTAAGGCCTTTGATAAAGTTTGGCATGGAGGTATTATCCATAAACTCAAATCCTAGGTTATCGAAAGGGAAATTATTAAGATGGTTTGAAAGCTACTTAAAAATAGATGTCAACGGGTTGTTATCAATGGGTACAGTTCAGACTTACGACAAGTTACGGCCGGAGTTCCACAAGGTTCAGTCTAAGGACCGCTACTGTTTTTAACTTTTATAAACGACATTGTAGACGATATTGATCGTAGATTGTTTGCAGATGACACCTCCCTATATGTTGTGGTAAAAATTATCCACGTACAGCAGCACATTGTCTGAATAACGATCTAAGTAGAATATGCACTTGGGTCAGAAAACCCACAGGTCGATTTTAACCCTAATAAAACAGTATCTATTAAATTACTAAATGTAAAACCAGTTTTGAAAATTGAATAACACTACAGTTCAGGTAGTTCGTTCTCCTAAACTTACTCCTAAGAAGATTGTATGTGGACACACATTGATAGCCAAGCTAAGAAAGTCAGTCCAATGATTCACTGTCTCAGGAGTCTTAAGTGTCGCTTTAAAAAGAAAAACACTGGTAATTATGTATAAATCTTTCATATTACCGATATTTAATTATTGTTGCCACATACGGAACAACTGCACAAAAGAATAGGCATTACTACTTGAAAAACTGAATCTAGATGCACTCACAAACATTTGTTGGGCTGTTCGTGGCACTAGTCACGGCAATCTTTATAAAGAAACGAATCTTACGTCATTAGTAGAAAGAAGACATTTTCAAAAGTTAAATATCTTCTGAAAGAGGTAACCGTTAATAACCTCCTACCAGATTGTCTCTCATCCTTAGTTCAAAATAGAGTGTCGGATGCAAGTGATTATAATTTGAAAAAAATGCTGACCACTGCAAAACATAAAGCATAAAACAAATAATTATAGCAAATCATGCCAGTAGTTTATGAAGATTTAAATGTTTTAGAAAAAGCAATGATAAGAATCGTATATACTTTGATGAAAATTATGGATCAAGATTCTGTCAGGTTATACACTCCCGCCTCAGGCTTGGCTGCAGTATTCTCAACGCCGACAAATTTGTCAGATTTACATCCGACTATGTTGTAGCTATCACACGGAAGATGCATATCTTTCTTACGTGTCCCGTAAACAGTACATTAAGGCAAATATGTATTATGTCGTAAAAGGCTTAGATTTTAATTCAATTTTACGACTATAACAAATTTTACAATTTTGAAATCAGTAGATAGTTTTATTCTATCATCTAGTCGATTTTTTTATTTGTCTGAGATTTTTTGTTTTTTTAAGCAATGTTGGCTTTGCTATATGATACTACAATGCTGTTGTGCTGGATGAAAATAATAACGTAGTTGTAGTTAAGAAAGATAATCGAGTAATAAAACACTTAAAGAACAATACTATATAATTATCAAGTTTCTTTAATGTCAATTATGTAATGAATGTTATTTCTCATGTCACTTTCAATATATTGTTATTTGTATACATGTTTGTTCGTATATGCATTCAGATAACCAGAATATGCTCGTTTGCCATCTCTCCACTTTATGGAAATAAATATGCTTACACCATATGTCTACTACTTACGAGGGCCGGGTGGGAAGGTCTTTGGTGGGCTGTGTTGATCATAAAGGAGTTGGTTGCTAATTATTAAAATTAACATTATCCCCTTCGCCATCGATGCTGGAGTGGCGGCACCCTACTGATGTACAAGACTTCCTCCTTGTGGTGAACAACGCCCCCCACAACAGAAATGACGCCATCGTCATTTGCATAATGCTTGCTAGACAGGTTTTTCTTCGAACTGGATGAGAGGTTGAAATCTGACGATGCCAAATATGGAGGATGATCAATGAGTTTAACACCACAGACATGCATTGCAGCCATGGTGACAACATACTTGTACGCAGGTGCATTGCCCTGGTGAAACAACACACCTTTAGTTAGTTTTTTCCAGCGACGTTTAGCCTTGATATCTTCTGCAGTTGCCTAATGGGAAACTCACACGGTACAACAAGTTGTATACAATGTGTTGCTTGCAACGCATTGCATCGCGTGTACCCGCAAGTCGGACCAAAGTATGCAGTTGCTGGGCGTGAGTTGAAGGAAATAAGACATGCTCTATTTTCATGCAACAGATTGTACGCATGCAGCGTTTAAAAAATCCACGTGATATTTACACGTAAATTAGTAAACAAAAATGGCGACAGCAACTCACGTCGGTAACTTCTGCTTTGCGGTATCCTCACTCAAATAAGGACTCATGAAACGTAGGTACGTAGAATAACCTTGTAACATGTGTAAGTTTGGACATTTGCATCAGTGCACGTCTCTTGGTTAAACGTTTTGTTTAACGGCAGACTATGTGATAGAACACTGCGGATGAGATAAGGTCCTTAATTATCTAAAACTCGAAATACTTCATGCACACAGACACACTTGAAAGTTGTAGATACTGCGCGAAAGTATATATTATGTTATATCAATAAGAGTTATTTTGCTAAAGCATAAGAAAAAACAAATAACTTTTCGAAATGTGAAAAACGATTTTGTTTTGCGTTTGACGGTATTGATTGAGTGAGTATGGTTTTACGCCGCTTTTAGCAATATTCCAGCAATATCACGGCGGGGGACACCAGAAATGGGCTTCACACATTGTACCCATGTCGGGAATGGAACCCGGGTGTTCGGCGTGATAAGCGAACGATTTAACCACTAGGCTACCCGACCGCCCCTGTCGGTATTGAGACGCCCATGACATCACATATATTTC